CTAGTTGAATTCACGAGCACAACAGACTCGAGGCTACAATTCATACCCTGAAGAATCCACAGGGCATGCAAGAAATGTATCTATTATCCAAAACCACAAAAAGATATCCCAGCGAAAGAAGAGACTTCAGAGCCGCATCTTCCTAGGGACCAAAAAATATCTCTGTTCTAAGTAATCTGACAATGCTTCCAGACTCACGAAAATGTTTAATCAACAATCTTCACTTGTGGCGTCACTGTTCAAATCACTACGGGAAATTGTGACTGTCAAATGCAGGTTAATATATAAAATGTGTCGTGCCGCTTACAGCGAGACAAGGTGGCCGCTTAAGACTTACCTTACAGGGGCTTTATAGACAAATCAATCTGTTACACGGAAAGATTAGTTGGGGGTGGGTCAATAAGTTTCACTGTAATCAATTAATTTGGCGGTGAGTGAACTAAGAACCACTGCTTTTTAGTCCTTCAGGTAATTGCATTGCGGCCATTATGAGAAATTTAATACACTTTGATTAACCTCAGGGAGGAACGACGCAATGGCTCCAGATACATGTATCGATGTCATTTATATCCGCATGAAAACTATAAGATCGGTATCGGAGAACCTGGTATATACGCAAGTTAACTATGTTAACATTATGCGCACGTCATTTCCCACGCTTTGTTCATATTGCACGCATTTTTGGAGTAAATCGGAAGGAAATCATATTGCTTCCTCTAACAGAACTGAAAATATAATGGACAATTAACGTGAACACAGTACATAATTTATTAATAATGTTCTGAAAAGTCCTTTAAATAAAACCTATATTTTCCATTAATATGCCAATCGATACAGAGAGTATCGATTTTCCAAGTTTCTTATCAGCTACTTATGGTAATTTCCTTTCGATGATATAGAAGTAAAATAAACTTAACATTATACCTCGAACCCCTCCACAACGGAAAACAGTGTCAGTTAACCGTTCGACAGAGCGTTCCTCTTCAAATTATCCTGAATCGGCTTCTGTTAAATTGAATACACTTCCTCTAGACTTTCGTTAAGCGGAGGAATACCTTCGCCACTTGAAGCGGTAAATCTGCGTCGACACATTTCATGAGACTGAGCACACCCACCACGCTAGTAAATCAGAAAAAATAAACGGAAACATATGGGGGAACTTTAGCTTTTTCCAGTGGCAGTAGATAGGTTGGGAGGAGCTTTTGGATTCGGACGTCATGTGACCATTTCAAGATTGAACTGCATACATTGTTTTCGATTGTGTTGTTGGCCGATTACGAGATTGCAGAAGCAGTCAAGAATCTGGTGGAAATTCAAGTGCCGTCATTCCATGACATTCAATTAAAAATTCTGAAATTTGATATCCAAGATACGATCAGAAACTGCGCAGATTGATGTTAAGTTTAGCTTTTGAGTTAAGGGCATTTGCCTGCCTGCAAGGCGTAACTTAAATATTTAGCAGTGTACATCGAATGCCACCCATACAAGGTTCATTGGTATTACCCCGGAACCAAACCATGACACAGGATGCTGTGAATAGTGTAAATAGGTTTTAACAAAGTTATTTGTTAGTAGACTGGCTTTGGCGGGCAAACCTGCTGCAAACTGCAGATCACGCTTCAGATATATTTTATTTTTTACCCAGAAAGAATGAGCTGCTACCACTACAGTTGTTCACGAATTACAAATTATGTTGCTACAATGTCTATTAGCGGAGTCCGTGGGCGGCTTCACGGCATTTCATGTTAAAAACTTTTGTCTTTCTTAAAATTACTTATGTCATCATCGGCTCTTTTCAGGAGTAATAAACCAGGAGCATCACCATCATATTCCAAGATAATCCTCAAATAGACGTTTTTTAATAACTCCCACTGAGCATCTTCAAACCTATTGTGCCAATTACGTCACCATTCTTTTCGCAGAGAAGGCAAGTATGAGTAGGGCTGTAATACACTATGGCAGTGAGAACTAAATTTCCAAGAAAAACCTACAGTAAGTAAACCTTTCCTGTTTTTTAATACTTTCTGATGTTCCGTACAGACTTCTTGCCACTTCAAGACCCGAGAAAACTCACCGAAATGACCGATTCATTCTCCGAAAGATTCACAGGGATCGAGCAGAAAGGCGAACGATCTAAACGCCGTACCACGAGAGGCTCGAAAATGTCAACGTCACAAAAAAAGCTCCCTACGCGCCTGAGAAGAAGAGCTTAGCGGCGAGAGGCGCACCAGAGTGACAGCTCGCGCCGCGCCGCGCCGCGCCACGCCATCCCAATCGGCAGCACGTTGCACCACGCCATCTTACGCCGCACGCCGCCCAAACCAACCTAGTTCTAGTCACGCTACATAATGGCAATTCAAGGCTTGCCGCGTCGCGCCACTTAAAGTTAACAGCGACGGCACCGCGCTGTGCCAACCCGACACAGCATAGCACAGAACACCGACCTAACTCGCGACATCATAGACCATCCCTTCCATACGCACGCCTCACATACACAAAAGAACTTAAAAATATAAGTGTAGATTGCGTTGATAGAACCCTACCCTTCCCATGCTGCACGTCGACCCTATCCCACGCCACAAAACAACTCAATTTGTTAATCAAACCCGACCCGCGCTACGATGCATCACGCCTGCCCAACTCTTACCATGTGGCACAATGTCAACCCAATCCACGTGCGGTCGAACTCTGAACGCTCCTCAGCATCACACCACCCGGGATCAATTCATCTTGCGCCACACGCCCAGCGACTGTACAGCACGCTAGCCCTAACGCACGCCGTGATGCGCCAACCCTAACCAACACTCCCAACTCAATACCACGCCAACCCAAAAACATGCTGCATCTCCCCGAGCCGCCCCGCGGACCGACCACGGCCTACCTTTCCCGCGTGCCGGCAGGCCACGGGGCAACACGCACACAAGCACGAGAGCGCGCGCGAGCATGCGGGCCCGCCCCGTGCAAAGGGGAGTGTCGGCCCGTAATAGCACGCGGCGTGGCGCGGCGCGGTGTGGCGGAGTCGTGGCACACAGGGGCGCGAGATATACATAGAACACGCACGAGCGCTGGGTGACGTCCTCTCTACCTCGTCTCTCTGAAGGTACCGAGGCGACCTGCCGGGTTCTGTGCTGCTCTCGGTACCGCTACCCCGTGGAACTGCTGGGGATCCTGCGTTTCAAACTGACTCCAAAGATTGCTTACAATGTAATAGAATTTGCAAGGTATCGGGACAACAATTTACAAAAGGACAATTTGATCCAACGTGCGAGGAACTACGATTATCTTCTCATGGCATTCACTTAAAAAAAAAAATTAACTTGCTTATTTCATTCGTTCACGATTTTCTTGAGTAACACTCCTATCATAGAAATTGTCCAGCTCCAACCATATCCCACACCAGGGAGGAGCCATGACATTCTTGAAAAATTACTCTACAGACCTTTATGAGCAAATTCATGAATTGCATTGCCAATGCCAATGTGAAATATTTAAGAGCAAAATAATATTCATCTTTGTGCCAATTTGTTTGGTGTACGTTTACACAGTTTTACCCTGCCAGAACTATGACAACCATGCAGTATTCCGTTTCCCCGAATGAAGTCAACAATTCAGCCGCGAAGGAGAGGATAAGCATCGACCTTTTCAGGTGTCGTTCCCTCGAGACATAACCACACGTCGAAAATTCAGGGCATTCCTTGCAATGACAATATGCAAGTTAATTTACAACGTCACTTTAGTACCCTGCCAATAGGATGGCGCTAAAGTTAAATCATAGGGTAATGTAATTATTTCATACTGTACGGAAAGACTGTTGTGCAATAAAAACGACACGAAAAACAAGACAAACTCAATCGTAAGTCATTCCAGAAAAAAATCTTGCAGTGCAGCTTAACTTACAACGTTCGCCTTTGCGCTGGCACCCAACTATTTTTTTAGGAGGTGGGGCCACAAGATGTCAACTTTTGAACGTTTCCAAGTCGCGGAAAATAACGCGTTTTTCAACTTTAATCTATACGTGTTATTTGTAATTGTATTAGTTGGGTGTATGCAATACAACAACTGAGTAACACGATTTCCGGGTGTGAGTCACCAGTACAGAACGTCACTCGCTAGTAACTAGATCCACCCTTTGTAATGATAGCTAATCATTGGTCTCAAGCCAACTTTATTATAACCAAAATAATTCACGCCCAGCAAGCCAATGAACTACAACTCCGTATTACTCGTATTAAAGAATTGTAACTTCCCTCTAAAACAATGACAGTATTACTTCGATCTCTAGATCATCGAGAACAGCATTCGCACATTGCATACTCATTTAACAAAGTCAAATCAGAGTGTGCGCTATCTTCCCAAACGCTTCGTAGTTCAAATTATGTCTTCCAAGTCCTGATATTTTAGAATAAGTTAGCTGTCTAGAAATACATTCTAGCCGGAAACGCTAGAAAGAGCATCAGGTGTCAAATTCAAAACCTGTGCGCATCACACTAATTCATCTGTTTTGTCCCCAAGAAAAGTCAGGAAGATCTTCAACCCTGCGAAGAAGCTCCAATCGCCAAACTACCAAAACATACGCCGTTTTCGGGCGCTTTATAAACAGCTTCTCTCCATACTCCACAAATTATTTCGCGAAAGATCGCTGAACCCTACTAACAATTTTTCCTCATCGAGTAGTAATGCAGTGGAAAAATTTCCTCATCGGGAAGCAAGCCCCCTCCCTCATTCCCCAGCATACAATACGTCAATCCGTTAACGCCATTAATACAACCGATATTTCGCCACAGTTTAATAGGGGAACAATCCCAGATTCCGACACATGTATTGGACTTCAGGCGATGTCTGAAGCGATTCATTTTTGACAGCACGGCGCGACGGGGCGCGGCACGCCTGGTAAACAGGAGCACGCGACTCCGACGACCGCGTCACCAGCAATAACATCTTCACACACGCCACGTGACTCTTGAGAAATTCAAAAGCATGCACCCGTCGACGGCTCCGACAGGCGTGCTCCTCGGCCGTCTCCGTGTACAGACCTCCAGATCCAGCAGTCGAGCGCGGGCCACCAGCTATCCCGGCGTCCACCCATGCCGCCCAACACTCCCTGCCCGTCCGCTGCCAACAGCTCCCAACAACCGCCTCGCTCCTCTCCGTGCTCCGGCTCGGCTCGCACTGACGCCCGCCCGCCACGGGGCTTGGCGGCTTCCTCCGCCTTGGCCTGGCCCCACCCCGCCCCCGCCGTCAGACGCGCGTCGCGGGCACGCCGCCAGCGGCGCGGCAACGGTGGCGGTGGCGGCAGACCGAACGAGATTCTTCGCCCCCTAAGTGTTTTCACTTGCTTTGTACAGGACCCTTGCGCCGCCTGCCTCCCCCCCCCCTCTCCCGCCTTCTAGGCGATGGGGTTACGCGGCCCACGAATTTCGGCCAGCGGCCATCTACCCCGCCAAATGCAAATAACATCTACAGGATTAAACTTCAATGCTTTGTTGTTCTGCAATCACTTTCTTCTTACTAAAAAAGGTAGTAAATCTTGTTCCTATATACTAGACTAAATTACTTCCTCTAACACGTTGTGTAGTCAGAATCTGCTTTGTGGGTCCTTGATGACGAAAAATGGATTGATGGCAAACCGGCCGACCGTGGTTTACGCTACCGCCAACACCGTTGAGATTTTATCCAAAATTGAGTCGATTTCAAAGAACTCAACGATTGTTGCTAGTCCCATTTCCGGCGATCACACACTTTGAAAACTGCAATATTGAAGGTAGAGATAGTTTTAAATGATAAATTGTTCTAATAATCAGATCTTTAAAAGAGATCCTGCACAATTACAAAAATCGTGTTCGCGTAATTTGGTGAAGTTAATGAAATTGATATAAAAAATTTCAAAAACCGGTTCAGATTTTTCTTTACATTTTTTCATGGACAGAACAACGGATGCCTAAAAGAATGGCGCAGGACTTTTTCGGTGAACACGTTGAATTTTCTAAAATCGCTAAAATTAGAAATAATGCCAGAAAAATACGAGTTGTCGCACCACTAGTTTCTTCTCTTATTCCCACCTGTTTCAAGAGTCCCGTGGTGCGGCTACGGCAAATCACCAAGCAAGATTCTCCACCCCGTCGTTTTTTCGCTCCCCCTCCCCGAGGAAACTGCTGTTTCTAGATGACAGGTTGGTGAGGTCATCAACAATTTTCGAACAGCGGCCTGTACTACACCCTTCCCTAAAATAAATCCAATTATTCTTACTGTTCAGTTTCAAACCGCTTCGCTGTTCCGCGATCTTTTCCCCGACAATAGGATTTCGTATCAGGAGGAATACTGATATGAACCAGGGAAAAGCCTACTACAATCCACCTTCCTTGATTTTAGACTGCCGTTTCCCACCCAGTTTCCAGATCTTTCACTGGTGTCTATCCCAACGAAATTCGTCGCCATTCCTAATGTTTTCATTCTTTAGACGTTCTTGCGGCGGCATGTTTCTCTCCCCTGGGATACACGCCCACCCACGACTTTCGGACAGAGCTCGTCTTTTCCACTCTCAGTACTCGACGCTTGCCCCCAATACTGGGTCCCAATCCCCAGGTCTGGGATGAATCCGGAAAGGGTTTACTCTGAACTGCAGGGGGAGGGGGTGTTTAAATGTGGAGAGCACAATGGGCCAATTGTAGGGGGGTTGTTATGTGGATCACAGTTTTCTTGCTCCCCAAGGGTACAGATCAGACGAAAACAACTCTCAACGACTATCATCGTCGCGAGGCAGATCAAATGCGATTCGGATTTTTTTTAAAAAGAAGACTTTTCCGTTAAAATATTCTTTGAGCACTTTACTGAGATAATACTGAGAACCTGTGTCGATTTCTTGGTATGCGTGACTGGTTCCTTTTGCCCTAAATTGAAGGAGGTTCATTAACCTCCGATTTTTAATTGTGAAAAACTGAGATATGAACCTTGATTTCCTCCCTGTTATCCACGCTTGAATCTCGGTGGGAAGAGTCTGACCATTTATCTCCAAAAGGTAATAGCAGCCACATTATACTGTGTACGAACATGTCGCTCATTTGTTGCCGGGGCATCCGTCATTCTATTTTCATTAGTAGAAAGTATTCCACCATCCTATTTTTAATATTTTAAAATTTATTCACTAACATTAAGGAGTGGAATTTACACACAAATCGGTAAACAATTTAACCACAACTATCCACTTTTCGAATGTTCAATCCAATCGATACTGAGAACTTTATATCACCACTCTACGTACCTCCCCCCGTCCCCAGGCAGACTGGCACCGTTCCTTATTTCTAGTATTCTATAGAAGTGTCGGTACGCACAAAACTTTTTCATGCGAGTCATAATGGTGACGTCTTCTTGAAATATGAACTTGAACACTAGTATAGAACCTAAAAGAATTCAAACAATATTAGGTTTCACCAGATTACTCAGAATACACAAGGCAATAAAATTTAAATTAGGATGACGGATCGCATAGTTTTCGAAGTATCTTATTGCATTAAACCTTGTCAGTTAGTAAGAATTTTTTCCCAAAGATGAATTTATATATTATATATATATATATATATATATTATTCTTGCAACTAGTTAGAGCCGAAAGAACACTTGGGATTTGGAAATTTTTAGGGCTGGAAAAATGATTTTTTTTTTGTTCCAATCAGATTTTTTAAAACTGTTTTAGATGTTTTTACTTTAAACCAAAGTGATTTATTGATCTTTAATTACGCTTAAAGCAGGAAAAATTTTATTGAAACAGTTTTTAAATTTATCAATAAATTGGTGTAATTTTCTAAAAATAAAGATCTTTATTTTTCTACATATTTATTATTTAGGTGTTTGGTGTAATACCACCCTAACCCACAAAATTTGTAAATTTGATTTTCTTATATTGTCATGCATTTGTAACACTTCTTTTGCGTCCGAATAAACTTGTGGCACCTTAGCATGATTAAAAACAAATCATTCTTCATTCAAAGAAATTGCTAGATTTAACGATGAGACAGACCGCCGCTTCCATTACAATAAATTCTCAAAGTTGCAGCGAATCCAACGCACAATCTAAAATTCATCTAAAACGAATCACATTCTGAAAATAAAAGAAAAACGTAAAACAATTTTAATATCTAATATGGAGAATCAAAGTTTTAAGAACGAAATTGGCTTCAATATTGAAGGTGTGGAAAAGTTTGAAAAAACGTAACATTAATACATTTCCGTAATTTCGAAGGTTTTAATGAAAATCTGACTTGCAGCGTATAACTAAGCGAACATTGCTCTATTCGAGCAAATCCTTCAATCAAAAATTTTGAAACATTTAACATACATTGTTTACGTATTTTTGAATTGTGAAGTTTTCATTTAATTACGGAAAAAATCTTTTTAAAAATGTAAATTGGTGTTATTTGAAGATTAATTTGTAAGAACACATCTCACCAAAAATATATCTTCAAAAATTTTGCAGGAGTAGATCGAAAAATTTCCAGAAAAAAAGTTTTCAACTTTCGAAAATTCCGATATTTTAGTAAATATCGGACCTACCCCTTTTTAAGGACTACTTTGCTGTATTGGAGAAAAAAATAGCGATTGTTTTTAGAAACTTTCTTGATGGCCTACGGCTTTTTTAGATATACTTACGAAAATTAAAAGATTTGTTTGAAATTCTAGTTATCGAGATCGTTCGTAAAATATCCATTTTGGTGAAAATGCCGTGTACAGTGTTGGCGCTCCTGTGGTTCACGAAAGGAACAGGAGATTACACTTTTCGTACAGAGAACCCGAAAATGAAGATTTCATTACGTATACGAGGCAGTAATTTACTTTTTAGAGGATCAAGAGAGATCCATTCTTATGGGGGTACGTAAAAGCCCAAAAGACCAACAAAATCCCTGTGTATGTTTATCTGCGCGCGCGTGTTTTTATGTGGTGTGTGTGTGTGTGTGTGTGTATCTGCGCGCGCGCGCGCTCGCGCTCGCTGTCAGATAGGCTCTGGAATGCTCTTTACTCTTACAGTCTTCAAGCACGCGAGCTCGTTCGCCTGTCGCCTATTGCCGAAGTCTACTTTTTCTCGACGTTTTTACCTAATTCTTCAAGAATTATTCTTGTAGGATATTATATATATATATATATATATATATATATATATATATATATATATATATTTAATACATATACTACACGAGGGTTGCCTTTTATATTTCAGGATTAGAGAACAAAAACAAATATTGATCATCGAAAATCACTATTGTTTTTCAAAATATTCCCCATGAAGATCTATACACTTTTGCATGCGTTTGAACCAATTGTCGAAGCCAATTGTTGAGGTATCTCCAAAACGTGCATTCTGAATGCAGCAACCGCTTCTTCAGGTGTCGAAAAACGTTGACCTCTCAGTTTGTTTTTTTACGTACGGGAATAAAAAGTCATTCGGTGCCAAGTCAAGACTAAACTGCTGTGTATGCCTTATCAAATCGATGTTTTGGGTGCTCAAAAATGGAAGTGTTTGAGCCGATGTGTGAGAGCTCGCATTGTCGTGGTGAAGAGTGATCCGTCTTCGGTGGTTGGTTTTCCTGATTTCTTGGAAGACAGCTGACGAACAAATCGTTGTGTACCACTCAGAATTGACTGTTCTGCGCTGTTCTAGTGGTACGGTTGCGACATGTCCAGTTTCTCCGAGGAAAATAAAAGAAAAACAGGCGACCATCTGATTGGAAGTGCTTCGTGCGCGAACTACTTTTGACGGATTTTGCTCATCTTGAAACACCCATACTGTCGACTGCTGTTTCCTTTCGGGCCCATACGTGTAAATCCACGTTTCATCACCTGTCACTATGTCATAGATGTGTTTCGAAGCACCGCGATCGTATTTTTTGAGCATTTCTTTCGACCAATTGACACGAGCCTTTTTTTTTAGCGAATGACAAATTGTGTGAGATCCAACGCGAACAAATTTTTTCGACAATCAAATGTTCATGCAATATTGAATATATGCTGGTCCCACTAATTCCTAAGGTGGTCTCAATCTCACGATAGGTCACGATCTTGCAATCAGTTCACGCACAGCATCAATGGTTTTCGGAACAACAACTGATTTTGGACGACCTTCGCGAAATTCGTCTTGGAGTGAACTACGACCACGATTGAATTCACCATACCATCGATAAACACTGATCCTTGATGGAGCTTCATCGCCAAAAATTGAAGTTCATCCATGCACTGTTGCTGAGTTGCCAATTCGAAAGTTGTAAAAATTAATCGCACGAAAATGTTCACGATTTAATTCCATTTTTGCGCCATGATGAATCTTTTAAGTTACTGTAAACAACACAAATAGCGCTCGTATGTCAAAACATCCAACTACGATAGAGCTGTCAGTTGCCAGACTGCAACACCTAGGTTGCCAAATCCCGAAACATAAAAGGCAACCTTGTGTATTTGTGTGTGTGTGTGTGTGTATAACAAAATTTTTATAAAAAAAAAAAAAAATCACACGTGAGTTCCGGGAGAAAAGTGAAGAAAGTGACTGCAAGAAGAAGAAAAGTCTAAAAAAGGCGAGTCGCCGAGGGTCATGCGAATGTAAAAAACATAAAATACAATTTTAATGGAGGCTAGGAGTGAGCTTGGAGTGAGCTAGCAGCGGACACGTTAAAGTCTAGCCCGGCACAGACCAAGAGTCTGGGCGCATTCACAGCAATAGCTGCAATGGTTGCGATGCAGGACCCCCTCGCTTCTTCCCGCCATTCGTGTAGCAACCCCGTGCGCCCACACGCGAGGCACGCGACGCCCGTCCCGTCCCGCACCGCAGACGCCTCAGCCACCTCTGCACACTTCAAATGTTCCAGATAGTCTAGTAAAACTTGAAATTACGCACAAATAGCAAACGCAAGTTTTTGATGCGTGTTGTTTGAATGATACAAACTGGAGGAATACAATTCCTATATTGCCGAGTATTACGGCTTATTCCTATCGCTCTGATTTGAATTTTATGAAATTTCTTTCTAATTCTCTGAGCATTATATATAGAGACTTGGAAATAATGAAGCAAGGCAACTTTAGAAATCCGAATTGAAATAAGAATATATGTTTTGCACCTATAGTGTCCGAGATCTTTTTATCGTTCTCTTAAATCTGCATCTGTGATTCTAACTGCTAAAAAGAACACTTGCTCTGTGGCGCTGATAGCGCGCTGCCGGGCATCGATCACAGCCCTGCGCAGGGGATCCGCAGAGCAGGTCCTCCTGCGCAGTGTTTGCCGCCCTCAGCAGCAGCCGCGCCCAAGCCATCGGAACTCTAAACGCACTTTTTAACCCAGATTCACGGTCTTCTGTAATTGAGGTGCTCCCATTCACTACTGAAAAAATAAAGAAATAAAGAGCACACGATCCTACAGGTAAAATGCAATCCCAATCGTTTGGAAAAGTGCTTACATCCGTGCCTTATTTAGATACGTCTGAAGGCAATATGGCATAGCTGTGTCACTGTATATTGAGTCTTCCATAAAATGGGTATTTAGACAAACGGGAACTCCATAATTATCACAAGCCCAAACGAGACACGAGTTCAAGTTTGAGAAAGGGTATGGACAATTGAGCTGGTCAACGTGCCTGAAAAATTATCCCCACTTTCCACCAACTATCGCTAATTCCAACAAGCGTAGTAGTAAAACAACGGTGGCTGTTTAATGACTCTCCCATAACGAATGCTGACAAGCATCATGTGTGATTCAGAGAAAATGAGTTTGGGCCCTAGCCCTTGTATGGCACGTATTAAAAATACATTTTCTGAACCCTGGAAGTAAAGGACAAAACTGACAACTGCTATCGTAACCAAATCGTGGTTTCTCAGATCAGCTGTTTGTTTCAGCTCATTTGTGGTTGCGTCCAATAATATATTAACAGATGAGAATAAATTTGTTCATATTAACTTTCATAACATTGAAAATTGGCAAAAAATTCGTTTTTTCAATCCATCGCCCCCCCCCCGTCGTGCACGCACTTCCGCAAATTTTCATTTGTCACTCACCGGAGTCTGCAGTTCGTTTCGAAGATTCTACTAAGGAGTATACCCTAACCAGTAGCAAAAAGAAATTTGACCGCCTTGGGAGATGGCAAGGACTAGGGTTCGTAGGCGCTGCCTTGGAAAACAATGATTTAACAATTGCATGGAAGGGCTGGTCACTTCAAAGAAAGGCATTTTAGTGATTCAATTATGTGGCGAAATATTAGTCACATTTACTTCGCTTTTAGAGCATTTCCATTTGAGATTTTACAACGACGGAAATAGCAAAAAATAAAATAAAATTTTAAGAAGTGTCGCCAAGCCTGCAAGCAATTCTACACGCCGTAACATGGGACCTAATATTATTTATAATTTTTAAATATGATTTAACAGTGTTCACACTTCACAAAAAAATCCGCTCGTATCGTTGAGAATTGGCGAAGGTACGTCCACATCGGGCTGGTAGTTCTACGGATCTATGCCGGAACATCTAGGGGTCCGTTAGCGTCTAGCTTCCGCAGCGTGCCGAGCGCATCTATGTGGTAACATACTCGACTAACCCTCTCATCGTGACGTATTGATCTGCCATGCTGCATACCGCCAAAAAGTTTTTATTAAATTTTACATTTTAGAGGTGTCAAGATTAGTACGCAAAGATTTCACAACTTCAATTTTCTTCTAATTTCTACTCTTTCCCCTACCTCCCAAATTACAGTGACCTGCGTTCTGTACTGAACAGCCGGTAGCTAGTTCTGTATGGTATCTGTCGTTTCATTTCGCAGATTCTTCTAAACAGTTATACTAATCACCAGCACAAAGAAATCTAGCCAAGATGCAGAACGACCTTTCCTTCCTCATCCTTTCCTTTGGGCAAGAGGTAGAACGCAATTACTAGCCGGGGACTCCTTGACCTGGAAACTTAAGGACTCTGGTTGTTCTGCAAGCGACGAGCGAGCTGAGCTGCGACAGTAATGCGCAACCTCATCTTTAATTCTGTCCACGAACCAATGTTTCTAGGATTTCTTTCTTTTATTTGCAGTGCAGTGTGTGCGTGTGGGTGTGCGGGGGAGGGAGAGAGGGAGAGAGGGAGAGAGGGAGAGA